CCCAAAGGCTGCTCAGCCTGTTCTCTGCTGAAGGCCGACGGATTGAGATGCAGAGGAAGGTTGGTATCAATGAATCACCAGTTCCTCTCCTGGCCCAGCTCTTGACTCAGTGTGGCCTGCATCCCTGTCTCCCTATCTCCTGCCAAGCTGGGGGGTCTGAGGGGCCTCCTGAGCTCCCACACATGCAGCCCTACAGATGAGGCAGCACCTGTGGAGAAAGACCCCTTGGGTCCCCACGCAGAGCAGGGACGTATTGGGGGCTGAGTGGAGAGGTCACCAGAGACAGCAAGAATCCTGAAAGAAGCTGGGGAACCAAGCCACAGAGAGGGTCCCCAGAGGCAACAGAGAGGAAGAGGCCATGGCTGGGGGCCCTGAGGGGTGAAGAATCCCGCTCTGCTGTCCCCGGTGGGCTGGCTGCTCCCCCCCCACCACTCCCCGCCGGGCCCCCGGGGACCTCGCTCTAATAATGTATTTGATCGACTCGCCAGCCGCGTACAAGCGATTATTGTCTTGTCGGGAGTCAAACGTATCGATCCGGTGAGAAATATGAGCAGAGCAATGGGGCCCGCGTGTCAGTTACCAGCCCCGCTGGCCCTGGGGAGCCCCCTACGTCTCCTTTAATTACCGCTCAGCCCTGAGCCCAGCCTGGCCTCCCCTGCACCGCCTCTCTCCCAGGCTCCCTGCACCCCGAGAGGCCCCCACTGCTCCCCAGCTCCCATGTTCTACCTGCCTTGCTCAACATGGCTTGAGGCCTCTTCTCTGGCTGAGAGGCCACTACCCGGCCTGCCTGGGCCTCCCATTCCTGGCTGCCAGGCCTTCCCCACCCAGTGGCCCCAAACTCTATCCCTCTGTCCTCTCCCAGCAGGCAGACATCTCAGACCCATTCTTCTTTCACTTCCTGACTCCAGCTCAGGGACTCAGTCAGCCTGGGAGGCATGAAGTGTAGGGCGATTTTATCCCTGGGGGGAGTGCTTGAGGCCTTCCCTCGTTTCCCCACTCAGCTACAGACCTGGGAGGGCAGTGCCAGAAATGGGTGGTACTTCTCTTCGTGCTCACCCTAAGGGGCTGACACCCAGTCGTGTCCAAAAGCATGTACTTGACATGGATGACATTGACTATGTCCGTGGTGGACCACGGGGTGGCTTGGTAGGGTTCTGGCCCCCCATAATGTCCTTGTGACCCTAATTTCCAAGCCCCTCAAGACATAAATCCTAAATCAAAACAGAACCTACAGGGTCAAGACAAGACTCCAGTACTCACTGCCACCAGCCAGACTGCTGTCGGGAAAGCCCTCATGTACAGAAACCCTGCATCTGAAAGAGAGATCGGGGTGGACTAGGAGACGGGAGGTCTGAGTTGAAGCTGGGTTGATGCTGTGTGGTCTCTGGATCTCCTCAATGAAACAGCTGTTACAAATGGGATGTTGTGGAGTGTAGATGGCTGGGAACTGTCCCCTCTGTGTACAGATGTAAAATGTGCCGGTCATCCCCAATGAGTGGGCCTGCCTGCCTGCCTGGGCGTGTCTGGGTGCACAGAGCCTGTGTGCAGGAGGAAGGGCACTCATGAAGGTCTGCCTGTGTGTTCTGTCCTGCCCGAGTGTGCATGGGTGTGAGCGTGGGCACACATGGCCGGAGGCGCGCCTGGGCACACAGGTGTAGATGTGCCCTTGTGCCCACGTGAGGGAGCGGAGGGGTTTCTGTACACAGGAGTCACGCATGGTGGGTAGAGAGGGTTGGTGTTAGACCCTGGGCGCATAGAGGAGGGTTCCCGTGTGTCTGCGTGTGCACATGTGTGTGTGAAGTGCTGGGGCCCATGTGTGTAAATACTTGAGTGTGTGTGTCTGGGTGAGTCCAGGCGTCCGTGTGCGCGCGTGTGGTTTGGGGGCGTCCCTCAGCGTGGGCGCGGCGAGTCCTGCGGGGCCTAGCGCGAGCCGGCGGGCTGTTTGGAGGCGCCAGGTGGCCTGACAGCCTCGGACCGGGCGCGGGCAGGAGGAAGAGGGCAGCGGACTCGGCCGCGCCTTTGTCTGCGCCGCGGTGCGCGGGGAGTCCTGCGCCTTTGTGTGACCCTCGCAGGTGTGCGCGCGGGGGCGGGGGGGGGCGGGGAGGGGAGCGGAGGGAGGGGCTTTCTCCTCCGCAGCCGGCCCCGCCCTCCGGCCTATTGGCTGGGCGCTGCCGCCCTCTGGCGGGCGCGGAGGGAAATGCTGGGCCGGGAGCGCAATTCTGAGACAGGCCTGCGGGCAGTCAGGGGACCCGGGGCTCCCCTCACCCGAACCGCCTCGGGCGCCCGCATTTGCCCCCTGGCAGACGTCTTGCCACTCTGGGCTAAGGCCCCGCCCCGTCGCCCGCACTGCCACTTTCCACGGGCACCGCTTCCTGTCAGCGGACGGACGCCTCACCTGGGGACAGGTGCGTGGCTGGGTACCTCCGCTCCCACAGCCTTGCAGGACGCCCACCATAAACGTCTCCTCCCGCTCTGCTTCTTGGCTTCATCACTTCTTGGCTCTGGGCCCTCGGAAAGGCCACCTCAGCTCTCTGGCCCTCAGTCTTTTCGTCTGTAAAACGGGGCAAATAGTGATCACCTCAAGAGATGGTGCCTGTCAAGTGCGCCTGTTAAGGCCTGGCATTGGGAAAGCCCCCCCCAAAAAAAAACTTCTAGCCAGGGTTTAGTGTTGTTGTTGTTGTCATGGGCCTATCCTCTCTCCCAGACCCACATGCCCTGTTCCAGATGTGTTTGCCTTGGTGGAGGTAGCTGGAGGGCTGGGGCTGCTGTTGCAGCACCTCCCAGAGACTCTGCTTATCCTGTGCCCCACTACCCCCACTTCCCCAACACACACATGGTTTGGGGTCCGCCGCCTGCTGAGGTGGGCCTTTGGGCCAGAGTATTTTCCCTTCTGAAGGGGGCGGACACTGTGGTTTCCTCCCTGGGTGACTTCCGGCTGAGAGGGCTTGGCCCCCAGAGAGGGCGGGGAGATGACACAGTTGTTCCCCCAGCCCTGCGGGGCGGGCAGCATGGTTCACTCCAGCATGGGGGCTCCAGGTAAGGGGCCTGGGGCCAGCGCCCTCTGCCTGTCCTGCCCTTCCTCCTTAGCTGTCTCCTCTTACTTGCTTTCACTCTGTACCTCAGCAGCTCCCCCTTTCCCTCCCTGGGTCCGGTCCCCACCCTCAGCTCCTCTTTCCCCTTCCCTTCCACTCCAGACACCTGGGGGCTTCTCATCTCCCCCCTCATCTGTGCTGCAGTGTTCTGGGCTCTGGGGGGTGGTGGGGGAGGACGGAGCCCTGGTGTTGGTAGCAAGCTCTTATATGGAGGATCAGTGGGTGGGCTTCTTGGGTGGGGGCTGCAAAGGGGTGGGAACACTGAATTGCAGGACTTTTCAGTGTGTGAGTTTCTGTGCACATGTGTTTGTGAGTGGTAGTTCTGAGTCCTCCGAGTGTGCCTGTCATGTGTGTGTGGCATTGTGGGCTCGCCTTGGCAATGATCTCTTGGCTCGCCGCCTCACTTCATTTGTCTCAGATGTCACCTCCTCAGGGAGGCCTTCCCTGACCTCCCTGTCTGAACTGGCAACCAGTCCCGCCATTCTCGGTCCCCTTGCCCCTGCTTTGTCTTTCCTTTATGGCATTTATCACCGCCTGAAAATGTATCCTCTGTCAGTTGACCGAGTGGATGTTGGGTGCCAGGCACCATACAAGATGATTTGTATTTGCTGGTTCACTTGGTAAAATGTGTCTATCTGTGCATAATGATAGTCATCTCCCAGCAGTGCTGATGGGAGGGTTAAATGAGATAATGTGTGTAGATGCTTAACACAGTGCCTGGAACACAACAAGCGTCAGTATGCGTGACTGTTTCGTTTGCAGCCTTATAGCAGTGTTGGTGTGTGTCACGTTCGTGAGTGTCTGTGGGGATGAGTCCTGGTTTGGCGTGTGCCATCCTATCTGCATCCCTGGGATCCTTCCACAACATATATTTACTGAGCAGTTTGTGCTGGGTGTTGGAAATACAACTGAAAAAGGGAGTTTCGGGTCCATCCTCCTGGAGTTCCCAGTCGGGGGAGACAGACCTGTTGCCAGACAGTGGAGGAGGCACGGGTAGAGGGGTCAGGGCTGGGATGCTGGAGACACAGGGAACCATGGGAGCCCAGAAGACTGGCCCAGTTGAGCCAGTGGGGTGTAAGAGAGGGCTTCCTGGAGGAGGGGACGTCTGTCTGGTCTGAGATGTGAAGGATGAGTGGCTATGACAAGGCAAAGGAGGTGAGGGAGGGGGTTGTGATGGAGGGAAGACTACTTGCAGGATGGCACGTGATTATTTATTGAGGTGACTGTATATGCAACTGTGTATGTGTGTGCACACATAGCAGTGTAGACCCGGAGATCCGGGGTATCTGCACCCGCATGCCGTCTGCTCCACCATGGACTCATCCCTGTCTGGGGTTGAATGCGGGCCTCGTACATGCTCAGTACTGAGTTAGACCCCTGACTGGGGATTTCTCACAGAACTGCCCTGCCTGGGAGGTCCACCTGTATTCCCTGCCTGGACATGAATTAATACACTGCATGGTCTTGGGCAGATCACTCGTCCTGCCTGGGCTCAGGCTCCACACCTGTGAACTGGGTTCAGGGTTCCACTCCGGCCGTCTCCCAGGATGAGCTGATTCTGGGCGTGTGAGTGTGCACACATATGTGTGTATGTCTGTCTGAGGGGCCTGGGTATGTGTGTGTCTGCCTATTTGTGTCAATCTGTGTGTCTGTGAGTGACTCTGGATGTGTATGTGCACATCTGTGTGTATTTGAGTAACTGTGTGTGTGTGTGTTTGTACGTGTCTCTGTGTATGTCTATCTGAGCGACCTGAGTGTATGTGTGTATGCACACCTGTATCTATCTGTATGTCTGTCTGTGAGTAACTCAGGTGTGAGTGTGTGCGTGTGTATGTGTGTGCCTGAGTGACCTCTGTGTATTGGTGTGTGTGTACATGTACATCTATTTGTATGTCTCTGAGGTGAGTGACTCTGGGGTGTGATTTGGCATGTGTGTGTATCTGAGTGACCTGGGTGTGTGTATGTGTGTGTGTGTGTACATGTACGTCTATTTGTGTGTCTGTGAGTGACTCTGAGGTGTGATTTGGCGTGTGTGTGTATCTGAGTGACCTGGGTGTGTGTGTGTGTGTGTACATGTAC